GTGGAACTCGGGCAATTTCATCTGTCTGGGGGTCAGTTTCCATTGAGTAGAAATGTGGACCATAATACTTACAGTGTTTCTGTAAAGATTAGATGTGATTGTAAAAGTGAAAAGATTTAATATTTTATTTTATTTTATTGAGACAGGGTCCCCCTTTTTTGCTCAGGCTGGAGTGCAGTGACTTAGTCATGGTGCACTGCAGCCTCCACCTCCCAGGCTCAGTTGATCCTCCCACCTCAGCCTCCCAGGTAGCTGGGACTACAGGTACGTGCACCATTCCCAGCTAATTTTTTGTGAAGACAGGATTTTGCCATGTTGCCCAGGCTGGTCTTGACTGCCTGGATTCAAGCAATCCACTTGCCTAGGCCTCCCAAAGCGCCGGGGTTACAGGTGTGAGCCACTGCGCCTGGCTGTGAAGTGCAAATATTCTATAAATCAAAAACCAGGAATGTGAAGTTAAGGCACAGGTAGGTTAGCAAAGGCTTCCAAGTTTGGGGTTCTGGAGTCTTGCAGAGCAAATCTTATCTCCACTACTTGGCAGCTGTGTGACAGTGCATGAGTTACTTAACCTCTCTGAATGTCATTATTCTTATCTGTAGATTAAAATTGGTAATACCTATTTTGAATAGGTAGTACCTATTCAACAGAGGTGTCAGGAGGATAAAATGAGATAATGCAGCTGGAATGCCGAGTATAGTGCCCAGCCTATTACTGCTAGCTGCTGCTTTTTGTTCTTGTTTGTATCATCATGGTTAAGGCCATTTTGGTGGCAACTCGACGTGATGTGCTAACAAAAGGTTGGGCTCTGAGCTCAATGGGCCAGTGACCCAGTGCTGTGTCACAGAGAACTACCATGCAGCCCTGACCCTTAATCCTTCCACCTGCAAAATGGGACCATAGGTAATCCCTTTCATTGCAAGACTTTTGTGAGGCTGGAATGAAACAACATTGTTGAAGACCCATGCATGGTAGAGGCTCAGATGGAACGCCAAGTTTCATGCAGAGATACGGAAGCTAAGAGGTGGAGGTAGTGTAGCTTCACTGAACAGGTGAAAGGTGACCATGGCTAGATTAGAGCACAGGCTCCTGGTAGAGCCTGGAGATAGGCCGGCAGGGGGAGATTCCAATCCAGGGGTATCGTGTGGAGTGGCCTTTAGGTAATCTACACTCAAAAGACCTCAGGCTGGGCATGGTGGCTCAAACTTGTAATCCCAGCACTTTGGGAAGCCGAAGTGGGAGGATTGCTTGAGTCTAGGAGTTTAAGACCAGCCTGGGTCACAGAGCAAGACCTTGTCTCTACAAAATATTTTTAAAAATTAACTGGGCATGGTGGTGCATGCTTGTAGTCTTAGCTACTAGGGAGGCTGAGGGAGGAGGATATCTTGAGCCCAGGAGTCCAAGGCAACAGTGAGCTATGACTGCACTATTGTGCTCAAGCAACTAAAGCCTGGGCCACAGAGCCAGACCTTGTCTCTAAACACATATATATATACATCTTATTTTTTTAAAAAAGATCTCACAGCATAGCAGTTAAATGCAAATTTCCTTAACGCCAGACTGCCTGGGTTCAAATCCTGACCCTGAAATGTACTAGTTGTATGGCCTCGGTCCCCTGGTCTACGCAAAAAAGATCTCAGAGCATAGCAGTTAAATGCAAAGCCCCTTAAAGCCAGACTACTTGGGTTCAAATCCTGGCCCTGAAATGTACTAGCTGTGTGACCTCAGTCCCCTGGTCTACACAATTGGAATGATGACAGGACCTATCTAAGTTGTTATAAGACTTAAAATTGTTTGCCTTGTGCCTCACATATAGTAGGCATTATTATAAGTCTTTGAAAATAAATTTAATTTATGCAACATTAAAATATATGTGCTTAGCCCAAAAAAAAGTGAGAAAAAATAATTTAAATTGGAGCATTTCACTCAATGAGCATATGCGCGGAGTGCAGGTGAGATGGAAGGGGATCTGCTCTTCCCTCAGCCGGCTGCACATGGCGTCGCAGGGTCTGTTGCTTGCAGTAAGTGCGTCTCCCGGAGCACTTTTTTCTTTCAATTGATACAGTCCCTAGAGAAAGGTTAATGACTTCATCTGACCCTCAGTGAGTGAGAAAGCAATCTAATCTGTTCCATCCTTGGCCTTGCCGGATGGGGAGATTCCACACTGATCTCCAACATGGGGGCCTTCATTCCCATGTGCATTAGTCCATTCTCACACTGCTAATAAAGACCTACCTGAGACTGGGTAATTTATAAAGGAAAGAGGTTTCATTGACTCTCCATTCAACATAGCTGGGGAGGCCTCAGGAAACTTACAATCATGACAGAAGGGGAAGCAAACACGTCCTTCATATGGTGGCAGCAAGGAGAGACACAGAGTGAAGTGGGGTGAAAGTCCCTTTTAAAACTATCAGATCTCGTGAGAACTGTCACTGCCATAAAAACAGCATGGAGGTAACCGCCCCCATGATTCAATTACCTCCCACTGGGTCCCTCTCCCACAACGCAGGGGAGGTTGTGGGAACTACAATTCAAGATGAGGTATGGGTGGAGACCCAGCCAAACCACATCACCACACAAGACCCAAACCCACTGAGCTCTTGTGTTCTAGGCTCTCATGCTTCTCAGTCTCTTCCCTGGAACATGGCAATCCCTGGAGGGGACCCCAAGTTCTGCAAAATTTCCATGTACACCCAGCCCCTATTCTCTAATTCCAGAAAGCATATTGAAATACATGTGAGTGAGATGGTTCACTATTAAAAGAATAATCTCAAATCAACTCTATTTTATCACTTTGAAAACAAGAAACCACAAAGACACTACAATAAACATTAGTCACCCACGATTAATTTCTTCCACTCCCATCATATCCAACAGAAAAGGGAAACTGCTGCTGCTCGGCCTCTTTGCTGGGAACAAAGTCCCTTTCTTAGTTGATGTACTGGGCGGAGTCTGTCCTTTGCCTGGTGATGTCAATGAATCCATTTGGGGACAACCAATGGGAAAGGGAGAAGATAGGGAAGTAGGGGAGCTTAGAGGTTTAAATCCCAGCTTTGTCTCTATCACCACTTGAAAACCTTTAGGACTTAAATCTCCCATTTAAGGCCTAAAGATTTTCAAGTGGTGATAAGAGACAAGACTAGAGATTTCAAATAGTAAAGTTATGTGTACCCCCTTCCTGGTCTTTACCAAGTCTCCACTGCATGATGTAAATTATCATTCACTAAATATTTTTCTTTCTATTGTTTCTCTTCTTCTACTCAAAACATTTTATTTTAAAAGTCAACTTTGGCGGGACATGGTGATTTATGCCTGTAATCCCAGCACTTTGGGAGGCCGAAACAGGTGAATCACTTGAGTCCAGGAGTTCAAAACCAGCCTGGGCAACACAGTGAAACCCAGTCTCTACTAAAAGTACAAAAATTAGCTGGGTGTGGTGGTATGTGCCTGTAGTCCCAGCTACTAGGGAGGTTGAGGTGGGAGGATCATTTGAGCATGGGAGATCGAGGCTTCAGTGAGCCGTGATCATGCCACTGCACTCTAGTTGGGGAGACAGAGCCAGAACTCATCTAAAAAAAAAAAAAAGCCAACTTTTGCCACCCTTAGAGCACAATAGTGAACCAGCTTATTATCTTGAGAACTATTAACTAACGGAAAAGAATCAAGCATTTATCCTGCTTTTTTCACATGAACTATACCACCAGGGAACCAAGTAATAGATGAAGGGAGGCCCTTCTTAATAAAAAGCATTCCCACTAGCAGATGAAAAATAAATGATAGGGTATCACCATTTTACAATCCCTAATGAATTAACAGATCTAGGCACCAAGCGTCAGTCGCTACCAACATTACTAAGACAACCAGTGATTATATGCCTTCAGATGAAAAAACATGCCATCTATGGTCTTGCCAAAGAGATCCTAGCTGAGTCTGACCAAGCCTCCAGAACCAGCTTCCAAATGCAGGAAATACAGAAGACAGAAGAAGCATGTTGAGGTGCCCCAAGACTGTCCAGTCCGTGAAACCCAGACTGTGAAAATGCTACAGGTCGCATAGCCCAGGATATGCGATACATATCCTGGGCTGCAGATGCAAGAACAGATAAAATAAAAGCATTAAAGAGAGAGGGAAACCACTAAAGACATAAAATTAGATGCAAAATACAATAGTGTCCCATCTCATATACGGGTTGGGTTCTAAAATCAGTCGCTCTACTCAGTAAGTTGAGAACTGGATAGAGTCAAAACTAATCTTGAAAAGTCCCCAAAACACCTTAAGTCACCAGGCCATTGGCCCTGAGAAGCCCAGAAGGCATCAATTAACTTTGTACCTCTTTGCATTTGGCCTCCAGCCTCTCTGTTCTTGGGTATGGAAGCCAAGGTCTAATTTGAAAAGGGAAAATGTAAGAGGTTACTTAAAGGAGGGACTCTTGCTCTTGCAGATAGGGTTGAAATCTCAGTCAAGAGCAGAAAATGGGCAAATACTCCCTTCTCACCATGGCAGCCATGGCTCTGAGCTCACTAGCTCCTTCCCAGGACACTGTGTACCTTCCCTGAGAGTCCTCAAAGGCTGTGTTCTCAGGCAACAACCTCCCTCCAAGGAGGCCAATACAAAGACCTCAGGCAACCTGCAGAGATGTACTTGTGCATTTATCCAAAGGGCTGGACGGCTGAATGAAACCTTCTAGAGCCACAAGCTGTGAACCTTTTCACCCAGCTCCTGTCCCTAAGTTAACCCTTGCTGTCAGAGAAAGGCCCTGCTCTGTTGATTATAAAACCAATTGCCTGAGTTCCTTTATCTGAGTTGAGACAGCATCTGCCTCAGGGACAGTGCTTCTCAGTGTCAACCTCAGAACACTGAGCTGACCTCTCTGGGCCTCACATCTTTCTGTGTCTAGAATGGGAAGGGTGCAGGTATCTCTGTGGTGGGCACTACTGGAATAGCTTTGGCCAAAGCCTGGTGAAACCCTGGAGTAGAATACCCAGGGCCATGGGACAAGTTACCATAGTCTGGAAGCAGGAGTGGAGCTGAGTCAGGAAGGGTGGCTTCCCGGGCAGGGCCAGCACCCGCTTCTCCACCATGGTGCACTCCACGTCATCATCTTGGATTACGACGTCCTTCTTCAGGATCTTCACAGCATAGAGCTCATCTGTGCCTTTTCGCTCTGAGAGCATAACCTGGGAAAGAGAGCAAGTGTGTCAGAGCAGTTGGAAGGAGGTTGGGGGCTAGTTATGAGCAGCTGGTGTTCATTCATGGCCACCCTTAGCTTTGCATAGGTGCCCTCTGTTGACTCTGAAACAACAGATAGTGTTTTCCATTGACTTCACAATTTTATATTTCAGACATAGGGTTTTTCTCTGCTGCCCAGCCCAGATTGCAGTAGCATGATCATGACTCAATGCAGCCTACCGGATAGTAGCACGATCATAGCTCACGGCAGACTCGAACTCCGGGGCTCAGCAATCCTCCTACCTCAGCCTCCCGAGTAGCTAGGGCTAGAGGTAAGTGCCACCAGGCCCGGACAACTATTTTTTATTTTTTGTAGAGACAAGGTCTCATTATGTTGCCCAGGCTGGTATCCTGGCCTCAAGCAATCCACCTGCCCTGGCTTTCCAAAATGCTAAGATGACAGGGGTGAGCTTCTGCATCCAGCCCTGACCTCACACTTTGAATAGCTGGACTCAGTCAAGAGAGGATGGTTTCAGGAGGGATGATTGTATTTTGGTCCCTCTGGGGTAACAGTCAATTCATCAAAGCCTAGCTAGAAGGTAAGTCCCACGAGGGCAAGTGGTTTGGTTTACTGGTGTAACCCAAGAGCCTGCAATAGCTCCCAGCTCATAGTACATGTTTAATACATGTTTGTTGAATGAGGGAATGAGTGAATGACTGATATAACTGAAATTAGGGTGCTTGTTCCTTTATTAATTCAAGTATTTAATGTTCACTAAGAACCTGCTAAGCACTGGGAATACAGCAATAAACAAACAGGCACGTTCTCTGACCCTTAACTCCAGAGAGGAAGAAAGATTTTGCAAATTAATTGCAGAGATGATTAATGTAATATTTTAACAGCCTCTCCTGTTGTCTTAGGGCTTCCTTCTTTGAATTGTGCTGTGGTCATATTCAGGGCCAGTTAACCAGTGTGGTTCACAGACACGTCGGTATTTTCTGCATGCCACCCCACCTCCTACTCCTTCAACCAGGGGGAACATTCTTTGAACATTCTTTGGTTGTGATTATGCCAGAGAGAACAATGACCACCGGGTTCTCTCAAGAAGCCTTGTAAGAAGCACAAGGCATAACCACATTATAAAGAGTCTTAAACTGGTTTGAGGGCTTCTAGGAAGGCTTCCTGGAGGAAGAAACAATCAGACTGAAGTATTCACTGCAGACACTGCGTCAGATATTTTGCAGGCAACAATGTTAATCATCACTACATTTCTGAGCACTTTTCTACGGACCAAACAACTCCAGGTTTTCACTTATTGTTATTCATTTGTATTGCATAAGATACTAGAAGGTAGGTGCCACTGTGAATCCCATATTGCAGAAAATCAAGACTCAAGAGGGTAAGGGGACCAACTAGGGTCAGAGTTTAGGCGATTGAGGAAATTAGATGCTACACTCAACTCAGCTGGAGGACCAGAGGATGCAACAGAGACATAAGGCTAGAAGGGGTGACACACAGAACAAGCTTAGCAGCAGGAAGGTAGCTCTGCACACTCCACTCAGCTCATTCCAGCATCAAAAGGTCTGGTTAAACTCATGCACAGAAGCTTCCAGATCATGCAACCATTCATTGAAGCTCCCAGGCTGACCTTGTCAGCTCACAGTGTTTCTATCTCCTGTCCTCACCATCTTCTCTCTCATCACAGCCAGAGTGGCCAAGGCCAGACAGATCCAGGGATTTGGGACACCTCAGGAGGAGGGTCCCTGACATGCACTGCCACAGCAAGAGCACTCTTATTAACCTCTTTCTTCTGTAGCACCACAATAAAAAAGAAGACCTGGCCAGGTGTGTTGGCTCACGCCTGTAATCCCAGCAATTTGGGAGTATGAGGCAGGTGGATCATGAGGTCAGGAGTTCCAGACTAGCCTGGTCAATATGATGACTCCCTGTCTTTACTAAAAATACAAAATTAGCCAGCCATGGTGGCACGTGCCTGTACTCCCAGCTACTTGGGAGGCTGAGGCAGGACAATTGCTTGAACCTGGGAGGCAGAGGTTACAGTGAGCTGAGATCACACCACTGCACTCCAGTCTAGGTGACAGAGTGAGACTCTGTCTCAAAGAAAAGAAGAGCTGCCAGTCTGAGTGGCTCCTGCAGACCTGTCTGCTTACGTACATGGCTAGGCAGGGCTCAGAGTGCTATGATGGGCATCTTCAGTTTATTTCCTGCCTCTCTCTGTTCTCTCCCTGGTACCCAACGGCTGTATTTTCCGTCCTCAATCCTTACTAACACAGAAACAATGACTCAAGGGAGCCACTTTCCTAAGACGTGTGGCAGGGGCTTCCTGCTCTTGGATTCCAGAGACAGCTGGGACTGGGACAAGTGCAGGGAGGAAGCAGGGAGATGACAGCTGGAAGACAAGTGAGCAGAGGGATCGGAGGTGGAAGGAAGAAGACTTTTCAGTTGCAAAACTCCAGAGGCCAGTAGGAAGGGCATGGTGCTGAGCTATCCTTGACTGTGGACACTCTCTGATATGGTTTGGCTGTGTCCACACCCAAATCTCATCTTGAATTGTAGCTCCCATAATTCCCACTTGTTGTGGGAGGGACAGGTGGGAGACAAGTGAATGGTGGGAGCAGTTTCCTCCGTACTGTTCTCATGGTAGCGAATAAGTCTCACGGGATCGGATCATTTGTTAAGGGTTTTCCCCTTTCACTTGGCTCTCACTCTCTCTCGCCTCCTGCCATGTAAGACACGCCTTTTGCCTTCCACCATGATTAAATAGACTGTGAGTCTATTTAACCTCTTTTTTTTTTTTTTTATAAATTACCCAGTCTCAGGTATATCTTTATTAGCAGCATGAAAACAGACTAATATACCCACCCTGGCCCATCACCACTGGTCAAGTCACCATCCAAGCATCCTGAATATCTGCAACTATCTACCACTTCCCCAACCAAAAGTAGAAAAGGAGGGGCCCTAGATACCTTCAGTGCAGGTGAAGTCATGATAGGATATCTTAGCCTTCCGCCTGTAAGGGCAGAATGGCTGGGAATTTCCCCCTGCACCAGGAACAGGGGTGGACATCCTACATCTGTGTCAATTATTCCCATTTTATAGATGAACACACTGAGGTTCAGAGAGATTAACTTGCTTCAGATAATGGTTGTTCTAAAACTGCAGCTCTGACCATACCACTTGAATGCTAAAAGCTCTTCAGTGGCTCTTGAAAGCCAAACAATTCTATGACCACATCCTGTTTTTTTTTCCTTTAAACATTCGACTCCCACTGTCTATGACGTCCTTCCATGCTCTTGTGCTGCTTTGAAAATCTGAGATTCCGCTGGGGTGTTATCTCCTCCTGTAATCTCGAGGATCCACTTAGATCAAATCCGACACTCCCTCCTCTGGGCACCAGGGCTGCTTTCTAACTATGTCAGTTACTGTAGCGCAGGCTTTTCCACACCTCAATCATTCATATCCCTTTTTTTCACATTTCTTCCTGCCACCTAAACTGTCATTTGCTTAGCATTTTAAAAATCTAGTCACATTTCAACTTAACTAAATTTGAAAAGGAAACTTTATATCACCACTATTAATGGCAAGCCAGTATCACAAGTCATAAATGGAAGATAAGCATAAAAATAAATAAAAGCAAAGCAGTGCCAGTAAATTCTAGCTATATACTGCTGGCTGCTGAAGGTTCTGAGTCAGGCTCTGCATCTTCTCCTTGTTAAAGGAAAAAATTATATTAGAAAGTTGTTAGAGAGCATATTGCCATCAAATGAGATTTTCTTGTTCAAGTAATTAGAAAGAGTAAAAGAAGACACAGAGAATAACCTTATCATAATGCGATTTAATTTTATTTAATAGCACAACTACATAGCACCTAAAACAATCTCAAGTAGCAACTGAAATCTTGCAAATCAGCAACGCCATGTGCTCCGCATCTTAGGAAATACTATTGCATTTGTACAGATAGTTTTAAAAATCAATAAACAGGGATATGTGAAGATTCCCAGTGCTTTGTCCTGCCCTAAACAACATTCCCTATACTGATTAAAGGAAAATAGAACCCGTATGCATAAAGCACAACAATAATTTAGAAATAGAAGTGAAGTGAATTCCAGAGCAGAAGTCAGCAAACTTTCCCTATAAAGGGCCAAACAGGAAATATTATAGGCTTTACAGGATGATCTGGATCAAGTGAATGGGTGTGGCTGTGGTCTAATAAAACTTTATTTACAAAAATAAGCAGTAGCCCAGGCTCCAATAGTTTGCTGACATTTGTTTTAGAACAAGTGTTTCAAGAAGGATCAGGGAAAATAAGAGTAACCACACGATCAAAAATGACTGCAGTTTAATTTGGAAATGAAAACCCTAGCATGCCTTTTACTTCTTCCAACTTTTTGTTATTAGAAGAACCTTCTGATTGGGTAGTAGTCACAGCTGGCCACAGCTGATTGGACCAGAGGTAAGTTCCCCACCCTGAACCAAGCCAACTGGATTCCCCCTCTCTCAACAGAGAATACACAGATCTTCCTAGAGTGGTCCCTTTCTTTTTTTCTTCTCTTTTCTTTTTTTTTTTTTGTTGTTGTTTGTTTGTTTTTGTTTTTGAGACAGAATATCACTCTGTTGCCCAGGCTGGAGTGCAGTGGCATGACCTTAGCTCATTATAGCCTCCTGCCAAGTTCAAGCAATTCTCCTGCCTCAGCCTCCCAAATAGCTGGGATTACAGGCACCCACCACCACACCTGGTTAATTTTTTCATTTTTAGTAGAGATGGGGTTTCACCATGTTGCCCAAGCTGGTCTCAAACTCAGGATCTTTAGTGATCCATCTGCCTTGGCCTCCCAAAGTGCTGGGATTACAGAGTGAGCCACCACGCCCAGCCTAGCATGGTCCTTTTCTACCACTGTGTAGGCAAAGAAGAATAAAACAGATGTTTGAGGAGAAAAAAAGAAGGTAAGAAAACAAGCAGAGGCCTTGCTTTCAGTTTCTAGTCTC